AAACATGGCGGACGCCGCTGTCAAATGTGGCCATTGCGCAGCAAGGCGAGAGAGGGGCGTACGGTATCTAGTACTATAGTGTACATCTATGGGTCGGGCTCAAATTTTTGTTTTAATAGTTGGTTGACAGCTTAATTTCCTACATCATTCCAAGCACCTAGGCTTCTTCTTGCAGGTGGTTATATTCTTCTAAAAAAGTCTTCAGTGAATGAGCTATACATGTACATTGTAACAGAATTCCTGCGGGTAAAATACAGCCCCCATGTTAAAATCGCACGAAAGCAGATAGCAAGTTGTGTGTGAATTGCAAGAACGCGCGTGGATAGTCAAAATAAATTGCGGTTTTTCCACCTCTGAGATACTTTTTACTTTTCTCAAAAATGAAAATTGCAGACTAAGCTATTCACTGGCTTTAGTAATTATTCTGTCGCGGTCTCTGAAAGCACCCAAAGACTTTGTGTTTGTCCAGTTAGTGCGGATTGGTGGAGGGACCACTGGAAGTTTCTATTCCTCTACCGTTCTCTCTGTGATCTCTGTCTATCATGCCATAACCCTTTACGGTCATCGTTTGTCGAAATAATTAAAACTAATCCTTTGGGGGGTCAAGGGAAACCCCTCTCCATCCTATATCCTCATCGATAAATGTTTCTGCTTTTTATTACACTAAGCCGAAAATTGTAAAATCTATCGATACACTGTTGTAATATGCAACTAATACATTTTGATTCACCACCGTCTTATTTTATGTAGTGATATGCCAAACACAAAGATAAAACGTATATTTAATGGCTTTTTTACTTGATACACTACTATATTATGTAAATTCTAAGTATGGCCGCAAAAAGCACATGACTTTTTTGTGCTGTTGTTGAATTGTTATTGCGGTCTCTACGGTTGTCGTTCTAAATTATCGTTGATTATTCATCAAAGAAACTCTCTTTCATGATGACGACTCCACCAAATTGGGATATTAATACAATTTCTATCGCATTTTAGTTTGCTATCACGCAAAGATTAGTTGCATATTGTTCTATCATAAATGTCTCTACTTAAAAAGTCTTTCCATCCCTTCTTTTGTGTAGGCATAAATGTATTAGACCTAGCTGAATCCGACAAAAGTGCTGACTACTTTTGCTTCATGTTTTATTTGTATCTTATATCTTTGACAATGATTACAGTAGGTGTCGCCCATACTGACGACAAAAGGCAACACATCTCACCTTCCATTAAAGAAAATGTCCACCAAACAAAGAGTCATGTTATTTTAAGCCCACTAAATCAACTATTTACGTATTCCGTTTCCTATGTGTGTATACTTTTAGGTGCATAGTTTTTACTGCAATGCTTCTATCCGTCAGCCCACGCAGTAGATCTATATGAACAATTTTATGAGGACACTGAGCTACTTATTTCGTAGAGACCTTGCATAAACGTTATTAGCTCATCGAAACGTGCAAACCTCTATTTGATTTTTGTTCCAGCAGCAGAATATAGGAAAGGATGCAGAAAACACGAGTCTTACGTGATAGCTTAGAGAGTTTGCTGAGAGGCTCACACGAAGAGACAAAAGAAAAAAAATGGTTGCATAAAAATGACGTCATCTTGGTGTGCACTTGTTTTCTTACTTCTCACGTGTTGGTCACGCACGTCAGGAGAATAGGTCTGTTCCTATTGTAGCTTCTCGCGCTACTAAACACAGAAAGTTACGTCATAAAAAAACCCAGATCGCGCTTGCCCATCCTCAAGACACGATATGAAGAGAATTTTAGCAAGAATAACCTTATCGAGTTCAACCTTCAAACGTCCGCCTTTCGTGAGAGTGGGAGTTTATTTCATCAACATGGCTGACTAACTAGCTGAGTAAAACCTCTCACAAAGAGAAACTTGCACATCCAAAGTGCTCGTGATGATGCGGGAAATTCAGTTATGCTTGGTATATTTTTTACCCTGTCTTTCACCTTGCTAGTGTTTTAAAGTACTACTATGGCTTTTAATTTCTACGTCGTTGGTATAAATTACTTTTATTTTATTTCTCGTACTACGTAAATCTTCCGTTTAACTTGTTTTCCTCTAACAAATACAGCAACTTTCAAGGACAGGAAACCCTGTGTGTACCGAGAGCCCAGTTCATGACTGAAACCGGACGTGCCTACAAAATGTAGGGCCTTGAAAGCGGCTTCCATGCGGCTTGGGAGAGTTACTTATCACATTAGATTGAGATTGAGTATAACGAATCAGAGCGCCAAATTAACGATTATTAAGTCGTGGTTGGGGGAAAATAAGGAAAACCGACGGAAACAACAGATGGAAAGAAAATACGTTGCCAAAAACTTCGGCCTTGTTAATAAGTATGAATCGCTTGAACAGTTTGCACATCGCCAACCGTATTTAATTATGGGACATCGATCTAAAGAAAATGTTTACAACCAATGAAGCATTCCAGGATATGATTTTGAACTTCTTGCTCAACACTTTCATAAATCCTTTGTAATAAATATCTGTAAAGAAATAAGTATCCCCGGAAATGATTTATTTGAGACATTTGAGCATTGTTTTAAATCCATTTTATTTATGAAATTGGCCTCAGTTTCAAATCGAAAAGAGCTCACCATCAATGAGGGTACGTTTTATTTCCAACACCCAGCAAACACGTCCGCAGATAGAAACAGAAGATAATGTACATTCTGTTGCAGTTTAGTATGAATCTCGTCATTGTTTTGCTTTGGCAAAAAATGCATTTATTTTTAATCTACTTGTGCTTTTGATAGCCTCTTAATAGTGTTAACCACAAAATTTGATAATTTTAATAACTTTCAGTTAATATAATTATTTATGCTATTTACTTCAATATCTAGGACAAAAGATAGTTTTATGTGCGCCCTTTTTGTGTATCTGCAAAACGTTCTTCGATAGTAAAGCACCTCTGCTAATATAATAAATGCTTTACAATTATTCCTTCTTACCTTGTTGACTGAAACGTGGCCACTCATTAGGATTGTGAGAAGAATTAGGGAAAGAAAACAGTAAGGCGGAAAATGAAATTATTCT